GCGCTGCCTCCAGCATTGCCTTGCCACCAGTATCGCCTCCAGCATTGCCTTGCCACCAGTATCGCCTCCAGTATCGCCACCAGCGCTACCTCCAGCATTGCCTTGCCACCAGTATCGCCTCCAATATTGCCTTGCTACCAGTATCGCCTCCAGTATCGCCTCCAGTATTGCCTTGCCACCAGTATTGCCTTGCCTCTAGTATCGCTTCCAGCAAATAGTAGCGGCGGTAAGGTAGTAGCGGCGGTGAGGTAGTAGCGGCAGTAAGGTAATGGCGGCGGTGAGGTAACGGCGGCGGTAAGGTAAGTAGTAGCGACGGTGAGGTAATAAGAAAAGCAAAGAGAAGTACGAGAAATATACAAGTTAAAAGTATAAGCTAGTTATAATGATGACGTAGAATATTTTCTGCTCTTAGCACGTGCTTTTATTTATTACGATAAAGTTGATATTAAGTATAAAGATTGATATAAAAGTATAAAGGTTGATATTAAGGTGTAAAGGTTGATATTAAAGTGTAAAGATTGATAATAGAGTTTAAAGGTTGATATTAAGGTGTAAAGGTTGATATTATGGTGTAAAGGTTAATATTAAAGTGTAAAGGTTGATATTAAGGTGTTAAGGTTGATATTAAGGTATAAAGATTAATATTGGAGTTTAAAGGTTGATTTAAATAATAATATATTAAAAAACTCGTCAACCTTAAGATCAACCTTAATATACACCGATTATAATCGGTGTATAATCGGTTGATTGGTGTTAACTCGGTGTTCACTCGGTGTGCACACGGTTGCTAAACGTAAGAGGTGCGCCCGTAAGTATACACCGCTCTTTCGAAGCTTTTTTATGCTTTTATCGCTTTCGCGTTAAAAACGTAAAAGCAATCGTTAAAAAAGCCGTACTCGTAGATTATCTTTTATCGTTTTCGATAAATTACGTATTTATAATTTATTAATCGGCTGCTTTAATTATATTGTTTTAATTCGTTTAAAAAGATCGTAATGTTTTTTAGTGAAAGCTATTGCTATTATACTTTAAATGCAGCAATAGCTTTTTTTTTTTGTTTTACCGTCCGTCGAGTTTCGTTTGCTTTTCGAAATAAAGTGCGAAAAAACGAAGCGAAAGCGAAAAACGTTTAAAAAGAGAATTCTTAATTTTTAAATCCTAATCTTAAAGATCTTAATAATTTTCGCACCGCGATCGCGTTATTGAATCCGCAAAAGTATTCGGCTAATTAATAAGTGCTTATCGTTTACCGTTTTTAATTTTATTGCAAACTTAGCTTTAGCTTTTTTTAAAGCCGCAGCGCCGAAAAGAAACTTAGCATTTCGAAAAAGCGTTATTATTAATATCGTTTTTTAAATCGAAAATACTTCGCGCGCTACGAAAATTATCGTTTTATTAATAAAGTCAATTATCTTTTCGACTCGAGCATTAATAACTTTTTATCTTTTAGACTTGCAAATTAAGCGATAGCGCTTTGCGTATTACGCTTTCGTGCCTTAAAGCATTAAAAGCAATACGCAAATAGTAATTGCTTTGCGTAGCGAAGTTGTAAATAAACCGTTAATTATTTTAACGAAATTGCGAATATATTAAGCGACTTTTTAGCTTTAGCCGCTCGTTTTTAAACGTATTAATAGAACTTAAGCTTGCGATTAAATTAAATTTTAAGCTATTATATCGCAAGTATATTTTCGTTTTTCGGACTCGTAGTAATATACGGAATAATTATAATATCGATTACGAAAAGAAAAGCATACGTACTTTTTTTGCGAAAGAAATATATTATTTCGATCTTTTTTAAAGCAAAAGTAATTTTATACGTATTGCTTTACTTAATAATAAAATTAATATTATTTCGAAGCATAACGATACTTCGATCGAAAGTATAGCTTACGCGATATAAGCAAATATCGTTAGTATACTCGAAGCGTAATATCCGGTCTTAATTAAATAGCTCGGCTAAGTAAAGCATATAAAGCATTAATAATAATAAAAACTTTTATAAAGTGGCGTACTTTATTTCGTAAGTATTCGTAATTTTTTTTTTAATCGGATTTTAATTTTGCGATTTGAAAGAAGAGATTTTATTAGTTTAAGTAATAAGTACGGCTAACTTTGCTTTGTTATACGTTTAAAAAAGCGACGAGTCAAGATTATATCGAAAGCTTTTTATATTGAACAGTAACACGGGGCAAAAAGATGAGTAAAAAGATTTTTAATTCTTGTCTAATGAACTTAAAAAGTAACCCTTTACTTATACATCTAAAAAGGTCTTAACACGTGATAAGTCTATCACTTGATTATATCCGACACTTTTACTTAAGACTTATTCAAATGAAAAAGACTCTTATTAAAGTTTATAAATAAAGCTTTTATTAAAAGTAGATTCGAAAAGAAAAACAAAAAGGATATAAAAGTGTTTTATAAAAAAAAAAAAAAGGCCGAAAAAAGTTGACTACAAAAGAAAAAACCAAAAGACTAATTTAATTTGTGTTGAACGTTAATACGGAGAGGAAGATAAGTAAAAAGATTCTTGATTGTTGTTTAATAAACTTAAAGAGTAGCCTTTTACTTATACATTTAAAAAAGTCTTAACACGTAATAGGTCTATCATTTGATTACATTCGACACTTTTACTTAAGACTTATTCAAATGAAAAAAACTCTTATTAAAGTTCATGAATAAAGCTTTTATTTAAAATAGATCCGAAAAGAAAAACAAAAGAGGATATAAGAGTATTTTATAAAGAAAAAACAGTAAAGGCCGAAAAACCTAATTATAAAGAAAAATTAAAAGACTAATCTAATTGCTTGCTTATTTTTTAAAAAAAAAGATTATTTTAATTTTTAGTTTTCGTCTTTTCATTTAATTGCACTTGAAAAAGCTTTTTTTCTTTAAATAAGCTATCCTCTTCTTTTGCTAACTGATCCGAAAAGTGATTAACAGTATTATTACTTGATAAAGAAAAGTACTGCGTAATGCTTATCGAATTTTCGACGTTACATTTTATTTAAGAAATAAAAGATTTACGCGATAAAGCTTAAGAAGATCGAGTTTTGATTTCCGACAAAGATTTTTAACGTAAGATTAAAACAGCTTTTATCTATATTTTCCGTTTTGAATTAAACTAATTGATTTTCTTTGCTTTTTTTTATTTAAGCTCGTTTTCCGATAATAGCTAATTTTTCTAATTCTTATTACTTAACGTATCACGTAGCTAAGTAGCGGTATAAATTACGTATTGTTTATTTAAATTACCGTTAATTAAGTCGAAAATCTAAAAGTCTTCTTTATTAAAGCCTTTCTATTAGCTAAGACATATTTTAATGAATTCTCTTTATAAAAAGAAAAGCGCGGACTTATAAACTTCTTTAAGATCGGTATTAAAGTAATTGCAATTATAAATCGCGAAACTAAACTTCTTACCGTTTTTCTATTGCTAAGCTGCTTAAGCGTAGTCGTTCGGCTATAAGCTTTTTTTTTTCGGTTAATTATTAACTTATCTTTTCGTTTTTATAATAAACTAGTCGAAACGAAAAGTAGCCGGTTTATTATCACGTCTCGTAAGCAATTTAGTGAATTAAAAAAAAGTGTAATTATCTTTAATCTTAATATAGCTATTAGTTGCTCTTTGCAATCGGTATAAAAGAATAATCAAGAAAAAAGAATCTAATATAAAGTGCTAGTTTTATTTATTAAGTAATACGATTAATAACATTCGAAATTTATCGTTAGCAAAGTTAAGTAATCCGTTATCTCGTCGGTAATAATATTTAATTATAGTTCTTTTAAGTCTAAGATTATCTGTTAATCTAACTTAATAGCGTTGCCGACTTCGTCGGCATTAATAAAAAGGCCTTGTAAAAAAAGGTCGCAAAGCAAGAACTAAAGTCTTCGTTTTCTTTATTATAAATTATGTTTTCGAAAGCAAGCGTTTTTTCGAGCTTTTTTAACGAGTATTAAGCTATTAGCTTTAATAATTTTCGTACGAGCTTTAATACGAGTGCGAAGCTTTTTATTAGTTTTGATTTCGAAAAAAAAGAGATCATCGCGGTCGGATTTAAAAAAGTTTAAATCGTTAAAACGTGCAATTCGCTTAACGATCTTTTTTATTTAAAGCATAATTTAAAAAAAATAAAATGATAAAGTATTTAATTAAAAAGAGAAGTAAATTATAATTAGTCTTTTATATCTTGTCGGTCGCAAAGATCTTAAAATAAAAAAGATTTTATAAGTTTATAAGAATATTAGTTTAAGTTTGCGCCGCTATAATTAAATCTTTTAAAACTTTAATAATTAAATAAAATGATTAAAAAGAATCGATCTTTATCGTTTAAAACTACTTTTAATTAAAAAAAGCTAAGTTAAATAAATCGGTAATAAAAATGCTTTAATTACGTAATATTAAACTTTTAGCATTCTAATCGCTTTTTTAAATTCTTTAAACTGTCGTTTAATTAATAGCTTAGTTAAACCGTCGGCGACTTGATTTGCAATAACGACTTATTTTAAATTTATTAAGCTATTTCGTACGGTTTTTTAAATAAATATATAACGAAAGTGAATATGCTTAGTTCGATAATAAAATTAAATGTTTTTAATTAATGCAATCGCTTTTTAATTATCGTAATAGATTAAGATTAAAACCGTTTTTTTTTACGAAAGTATTTCGATTAAAAAACGCTAAAGCTAAATTGTTTTTTTAACGGCTTTCGTTTCGGCTATCAATTCGAATTCGCACGAAAATAAAGCAACGGTAAGTTGCTGTTTCGAAGATTAATTGATTGTTCCGCTTCCGACGTTAAAAACAAAGCTTTTTATAGATTTGCGTATTAATTAATAATCATCTTAATCCGCGTCGAAAAAGCCGATTAAATCGCTTAAGTCTTTTCGATAAACGAGTTCGTAAAGAGTAGTTTCTTTTAAATAGCGAACGATGCGTTTCGTTACTTTTATATATTTTATAATTAAATTTAAAGCAAAACGATTAATTATAAAGATTAAAAAAGCAATATCGAGCTTAAAACTTAGTATAGCGTATATAAGTGAACCGATAAGTCGCTAGTATTCGTAACGAAGTTTAAAAAGAACTTAATAC